ATCTAAGTCACGTTGATTGAAATTATCACGTGATCTTTTTTTTTAATTTATTTTCAATTATTTTTTATTTATTTATTTTATTTATTTTCGATCAATACGATCAATACAAATAATCAAATTTAGATAAATTATTACTTTTTAAATATCGTGTAATTTCTCTTATATTGATGCATATTTTATTTATTTTCAATCAATACAAATAAACAAATTTAAATAAATTATTATTTGATGTATCAATTGACCTTTAACATTTTTTTTATAACTTTTCAGTTTTAATTAAATAAATCAAATATTGATTATCTTACTAAAATCCGAAAAAAAAACTTTATTTCAATACAATCAATACAATAAAAGGTAATATGATTCCAATATAAAATAAGAACATGAATCCATGAAGCAATGAGATAGAATTAATCAATTGATTATCCAAATATATTTTGATCATAGAACATGTAAATAAAAAACAATTTAATGAGAATTTTCTTTCGAAATCATTCGGCGCGATAAGTCATTAATAAATTAATTGCAACGTTTTAATAATTTGTTTTTAATTAATCAACCTTTAAGACCAGTCACATTTATTCCATGTAATCCAACATTAAAAGGTAATTTCCATTAAAAAAACGTATAAATAGAGTTCTTAAAAAATTATTCGCTAAACAAAGTGTTGCTAATAAAAATTTAAAAACTCCATAATATCTAACATCAAATCCGAACCCCAATTAATTGGAGAAACTAACCTTTTCCATGAAGTCCAAACTGGGGATATATCAAGAGTCAAGAAAAGAAATACATATATTCTCCCCCATTATCTTGGGAGATTAATCAAGACAACAACAAGGTATTATTGAGTTTGAATACAAAAGATAACGCGCGTACATAGTAAACTCATTATTTTGCATATGAACGTATAATTTTTTTTTTTGCAAATTCTTTATATCAATTTAAGGTATAAAATGATTAAATACAGATATTGATTTTATTTATACTGTAGTTTTAAATAATATTTAATTTACTTAATATTACTATAATTTTTTGCATCATTCAATAATTTTTTGATTTTGTAGTTTATTCAGGGTATGATGTATATTGGTCAGTGTAGGTTTCTAAAGTTGGAGAATAGATTTGGTAGTTGTGAACAAAAATCGATCTCCAGTTGACCTCAACTTTTACCAATAACGTTCCTACGCATCACGTGATCAAGAATAAATAGAAAAATCTTAATAATGAATATGAATTATATAAATTATATAAATATCTACAGCTTTTATAACCCTTGTTTTTCATGTTTATAAAAAAAGAAGTGATAAACTGTTAAAATTATAATCGATATTTAAATAATCATAATATTTTAATAAAAAAAGAAGTGTAAAGTATATCATTTTGAGGATAATATCCTTCTTTAATAGTTGTATAAGTATATTGAGTACCATTTTGATTAAATACAATAATGGTAGAGGCAGGGTAAGTAGACATTTAAACTAGCTAAGTAGAAGAAGTGCGCGTAAATTTATTTACGTTATTATTATTATTAACCACGAAATTTTAGTGTATTACAAGATATTTCAGATATTTCATATTAACCAATCAAAGTGGTGCCAATTTAGTGGGGTTACCCCTAAAAAATTAGGGTGATATGCGCATCTGGAAAAGTATAAATTATTTGAATCTTTCATTTTCATTTTTATTTTTTTTGCCAATAACTCTCTTTACTTTTTAATAAGCCCATTTTTTTCTTTACCACTTTATACATTATTTTCGCTGTTTTTTTCGCTATGACCAAAGTTACTGCAAAAAACATAATTCCACGAAGCTTAAATGGACGCAGAAACAATAGAAAACACATATTATTAAGAAGTGGAATATGCTATTCTCGTACTAAAGATAATAAAAATGAAGTCGTCACGAACGTTATTGTTTCTACGGGACAACCAGCTGTAATTCCAGACCGCGTAAGCCAGGGCGTAAGTGGACATAGCTGCGGCTTCCGCGTGCGCTTTGCTAGCGATGGTGTATTTTGCCTGCCCTTCGTTAGCAATCAATTAAAAAAGAAAATAATACGTATAAAGTCGATTCTAAAGACGTCCAGTAAGTACAAACAAGAAAGTTACGTACGTCCAGTTCCTGGTGTACCTGAACCAGAGCCAAAACAGACGATAGCGTTGCGAAAATATTTGGAATCGCTTTGTTTAAACGAACAAGTATTAAGTCGTGAGATATTGCTTCGTCTCGGGACGTATATGCTGGATTGTTTTGTTTCTCAAGGATGGTGTCGTCCTTTTATTAATCCTGTACCCGAATCGGCTCGGAATTATCACCTTCGCATCGCACGTCCGATGGATTTATTAACAGTTGAACATAAACTTTGGGCAGGAGAATACGATGGTGCAGTTTCAAAATTCTATGATGATTTAGCACAGATTATTTATAATGCATTCAAATTCCATGAAGAAAATTCCGTAATATTCAAAGAAGCAGATTCGATGCTTACGTGTTTTGTCAATTTAACAACGAAGTTTTCGAAACCACCATATGATAATAAATTGAACTTCGCACTTGCTCAGATTGGTGCTAAACTCCCTCATGAAGAATTTGATAATGTTTGTAGAGTAGTACCAAATATTAAGAGGTATTCTTTTTTTTTGTTTTCCTTTTTTAACGGTTTCTTTTGTTTAATATTTATTTTTTTTTTTT